TAAAATACTGGAAATTCTGGTTATTTAAAAAAAATTCCAGCATGATTTTTGATAATCAGAAATTTTCTGTTGCTAATCATTAAAATAATACGTAGAATGAGATATTATTAATATTATTTATATATATTTGTTAATACCTCTGACTACAGATTACCAATTCTATTAATATAAACATCACTGGAAAAAAATCAGGGTGTCATGTCACGATTTTGTATACTATTTGACTATATAATTCCAATCTGTATTTTTTTAATTTTTTTTGTATGATGCAATTATTAATCCTTAATACTCTAATAAATTTATTTCTTAAAAGCATACTAATTAAAGAGAGAGGGGTAGAAAATAATTAATACATTTTTATTTCTCAATTGTAAAAATTACTAGTATACTGAATTAAGATACTGTATATAATTATTTATTAAATATTAATAAAAAAAATACAAAATTGCATATTTAAATTTGTAAAAAATTTAAATGTTTATAACATCATTATCATGAATGTTAAAAGTACTGAATTTAAATTCGAATCTAATCTCTACGAAATACTTTTTTCATCGACTATTCTTCTGTATTTCTGAAATTGTCATCATAATTGAAGTTACTATGCTCATAATTTGAATTAAATAAAGACCTTACCTCATCTAATAAAATCAATAATTCGTCTCGTCTTTTAGATTTTATTCTACTATACCTTTTCTGGACACTATCATCTAACTGTACAAGAAGAGCTTCAATCTTGAAAATTATTTCTACTTTAGTTATATGAACTTCAGCTTTTTGTGTGCTTTCTTCTTCTTTCGTAATTAGAATAGGCTTGAATAAAGATGCTAGATTATTGTTACAGAAAATGTTAGTAATATAGTTTTGTCAGGCACTTTTTGCTAAGTTAGTAAAATTTGATAAATGTAAGCTTAATTCATATTCATTATCCAAACTTTTGTAGATAGTTCTTGGAGCTGTTAGATTAATGAATCTATTTTTCTTCAGAAGGGCTCGAAATCTCTGATGTTCAATAGTTAGTTCCGGTCTGGTTCTCAGGCTATTTATTTGAAGATCGTTGTATCCAATTAATTCAAAAAAATTTTTCCACAACTAGGTTTTAATAACAGTATATTAGTTTGATTAAAAACATAAATTGATTAAATATAGTGATTACCTGAAAAAATTTTTTACAATTTCTTGCGGCAATTCTCCAATGATGCATTTGTGGGACAGGAGGTATCAGTGTCTTCAAAATCTTGTTGATTTCTTCTAAAATCGCGTCTAATTCCTGATATTAGTTGAAAAGCCCTGATCGAGAAATAGCACAATTATTTTCTATAATATCTCTTACAGTCAGTTCAAGCTACATCATTTGCACCTTATCTGAAACTTCTATTAGCTGATATATTGGATGGCGTCGTGCAGATTATATTGGTGAAAAAACTCGTTTCGCAGCTCTTTTAAGCAACGGGTTATTAATCCTTATAGCTGTTCTATAGTTGACAATTGCTTGCAAGTAATAAAAAATCTATTCATAAATTAATATTAAAGTTAGTAATTAATAATTATTATAACATTATAAATTTGACATAAAACTCCACCTGTTCAAATTTGAATTGATAAAGAGGATCATTTTGTTCTTTCGCCCAGGTCAGATATCTTTTTGCTGATAGATTCAAGCTATTCTTAACATATAACCAAATCAACTCCGTAGCTATCGCATAACAATAAATGTTGCAAATGGAATCCCAAGCCTTGTGATAGTCATAGCACTTCTTGAAATAGGCAAGTTGCTTTTCCGTCTTGTATCCTTGACACTTCGCGAACTGTTTGAGATCAATATTCCTTTTGACAAATAGAAAAATTTTAATGTAATATTTGAATTAGTGATAGTATATATAGAAAAAAAAGATAGATATTGTGAATAAATATTTATCAGATATATAAATAAAATTCTTTTGACTAAACTGATTGAATAGATTACTATTGAAAAATATATAAACCTACCAATTTAGTTTCACATATGCACGAAGCATATTCATTTCTTCATGCAGTTACCCAGGAACAAGAACAAGCCACAGATATTTATGTTTTACTTTAGTTATGTAGTGATATGGAACGCTATTACATGTTACAACTACCTATTTGCGTATTTCGTCTTTAACCCCAGAGATTTTCTCTATATGAAGTAGAATTTCTTTGACATTAGCAATTGAATTAGGGTTAATATCAAGAGGATTAGGAACAAAAATATCTGGAATTCGAACTCCTTTATCAGGTGATAACTTCTGAGTAATACTTATTCTTAGTATGGTAAACAGACTAGATTCTTCAATACTATATGGCTTAAATATAATTGGATAGTCCTTAACATCTTTCTCTAATTCAGAGGACTGTTCTTGCTGTAATTTTGTTAACTTGAGTAGACGAGCTGAACATTTTGAACAAACCTGTTTTCTATTATCAATATTTTTTTCACTACATTCAAAACATCGTTTTTTACAGTGATCATTTGATCCTATGCTATTAGCAAGAACATCAATGTTATTAATCTTAGATAATTTTTCCTCAAGCAATAAATTTAAAATTTCAGAAAGATAATCATGTAATTCTTTGTCCAATACTTCCTGCATTTCGGATGTAATTTCGAAAAGGCTTTCATATTGTAACCTATTATGAGAATTAGGTATCCAAGGTATATTAGTATGCTGAATATAATTTTTTGATTCCATATTAAAACCAACAAAACTAGTAACGATATTATATGTTACTATATTTGACCCTCGATCAAGATAGTTTTGCTACCCTTTTTGCTCATTATCGAATGCCATAAATAAAAGTCCGTTAGATAGCGTTTCCTCTCTTTCTGATAATTCACCTAACCAATTATAAAAATGTGAATAGCTCCCTGAACATGTAATATGATTATCAATATTGATGATTATTTTCGATCTCGCAATAGAATACTTTATGGCTGATGCTACGAGATTTATTTCTAACATGTATCTCCCATGCCTAGATCTATATATTAAGTCGATAGCCATTGCTCTTTTATAAACTTTCTCACTGTTTGAGGAATCGTTATTTGAAGAATCTGTTTTTAAATTATAATGAGTTAGTGTTTCAACAAATTTTACAATAACCGGATTACGTTTACTTAGCCATAATTGTGAAGTATAGTTTAATAGATTTTTAAGAGAAAACCTATTATTAACTTTGATCAAAGAATTAATATCCTTATATAAAAGCTCTCGCTCAAGTAGTGCGATATTAGCAACTTCCTGTATATGCCTATGTTGGTCACAATGTCAAGAGTTCCATTGTTCTACAAGTTTCTCATTCTCTTTACATTTTTCTTAGTACAGATTCTTCATTCGAATTATTTGCTCACAATAATCATTTATTCATTATTTCAACTCTGATATTTCTCGGTTTTGGTCTACTACTTGTCTCTGCAACTCTAAAATCTTGTTAGTAAGTGTCACTGTATACTCCCTATTTTCTTGATTTCCTGTTCTAATTTTGTCTATCAAGGCTTCTGCTCTTTCAAACTCCATTGACAAATACGATTCATCACTAACAACTATTTCTTCAGAGGTAGAACTTGGTAGTTTTTCAGTCCTTTCAAATTCTATCTCTTTAGAAGTAGAAGAATCAATTCGAGATCTTTTATTTTCATGATTAAAATTCGGGTTATCTAAAAGACTTTGATAAAAATAATTTGTAGATATTAGTTGATTATAATATTTTTCACAAATAGAGTAAGAACTTAAAGAAAAATTATAAAGTTCCGATATAAAACTATGATATAAAGTAAGCCGTTTAGCTGTCTCTTGACTATTTGCGTGCTACCAGATCTGCGATTCCTTCATTTCACAAGCTCTTAATCTGAATTTCTGATATTTACTAACTAATTTAGCTAACAGGCAGAGAAGATCTTTGGCTCTTTGTCGAATTGGCGAAGACTGTGAGCTACTTGACATAATTTGAATTCTAATACTAAACTTTTTTTAAAAAAAAAGAAAGCTAGTACGTTAATTAAACGTACAAATTGTCAATTTTTGGGTTTCGTTTACCTTTTTAACTCAAGTTGATTATGAGCTGATGTTGAATGATTATGAATCTGAGTGCTTTAAGCTTTTAGTTCATATAATTAGATACTATGAATATGTAT